GGTCAGCACGCTCGATGCGCATTCGAGGGGTCCGTGGTTCAAGTCCAGGAGAGGGTATTGCACATTTCTTCAATTTCCTGAATAAAAAAAACCTAATGTCTCTACAGCCTTATGAAAACAGTGGCGCCCGAACTAAAAAAAGATGGTGGATGATGATTCTTCATCACCAGGATTTGGCGATTGGGTTCCCTAACCCCCAGTCGCCCAATAAAAGGGAGAGTATACAAAGTATTTCTCGCTCTTTCTTAGCATGCCTTCGTAGTGTAATGATCAACACGCTCGGCACTTATTCGAGAGGTCCGTGGTTGAGTCTCAGCTAGGGCATTGTTCATTTCTCATGTCTCCTGCTTCGAAATAACCTAATGTTTCTACAAGCTCTTCTCAGTATCACAGAACACAATCAGTAGTTACACTTCAAACACCTAATAAAGTTAAACACAACATAATGCAAGGCACATCTAATAGATAATGCTCGCAGAGAGATCTCAATACTCCGAAGTTAGCTGTCAACTAAAACCAGAGACCCGATACTATCTTCGGGCTTATATACATTTTCCCTGGCAGCCGAGAAATCTCTGATATCTTCCATTGCTCAAAGTCTCTGAAAGGTATATACCAGGGTTGGAAAAACTTCATGTCAGGAAGAGCCGCACGTTAGAATTCAGGAATGCTCTAGAGCCGCATCTAGATTTTCTAAAAGCCACAAGTTCATATTTTCATCATTGTAGAAGTAGTGGAGGAGGTTTTAAATAGAAGGAAATCCCTGATAACTTTGTAAAAAGAGTCTAAACTAATTAATTACTTCCTTTTTGGACACTGAATAGTTTTAGTTTACCATATTTCATACATATATTTTTTATATGCATGAGCCGCACAAATTGCCTGCGAGAGCCGTATCATGCTCGCGAGCCGCACTTTGGCCACCCCTGATATATACGGTTAAAGTTACATATGATGACAGCATACAGTTACAGTTGCATATAGGGATCTATTACAGCTATTCAATTACAGTACCAATTAGTTATACAGGGACCGAACTAAATGTCGCAAAATGTTCACCAAGTTTGACGACTTTTAGCGATTTCTCTCAATATTTGGCTAGAAAAATTAGTCGCCAAAACGTCGCCAGCTTGGCGATATCTCACCAATTTAGCGAGATAGCCATTTACCGCAATGTTAAATAGATTTGCTCTTGTAAACGTATTTTTACGGCAGAGCTTCGCATTTTCAAGCATTTCTTTTTGTAGAAAAGACACTACAATTTTGCATAGAGCTTCACTAAAATTATTCATATATATATATAAATTCGTAACAATATGCTTTAAATAATGCAGAATAAGAGATAACGAAAAAAGACTAATTGAATTTTATTTAGCACTCGTACAAGTATATTAATATAAAGTATTTATATTAATACACAACAAGAGTACCATTAGTTTCTTTGGAGAATATAAATGTCTGTTTTCGATTTCCCACCAGTCGTTATTAAGCACTTACGGAATCGTAGTACAGAGGCTGTTCGCACATTTTTTAGACGACTTTTGTAAGCGGTAATAAAAACTCGTTTGCTGCAAAAGAAGTAATTGCAATTGTACTATGTTTTTAAAAGTCAAAACTATCGTCTGTGGCTTGAAAGTTTTGTTTTTATTCAAAATGGCGAATTTAACAAAGCAGTGGTTCGAAGGCTACATTCACGCTCTTTCCGAAGAGAAATATGCATACTCCGTTATCCAAAAACGACGTGAGAGTCATGGTTTTGTGATATCTAAAGCGTCGATAGGTAATGTCATCAACAAGAAAGGAAAAAAAAAGTCAAATTGGAGCCTCAAGTGGGACAAAAGATTCAAACAAATATCCAAGGAAAAAACAGACATCTTCGACTATTGCAAAGGTACGTTGTTTAATGTTAAAAGAAAATCTCCCTAGTCAAAGGACAGTTGCAAAATCATTAAAATGCTCGGTGTCCACTGTAAACAAAATGATAAACGTTGATTTAAATCTTAAGAAAGCGAAAAAACGCAATTTGCATCGTCTTCTTCCAAAGCATATCGCTCAACGCAGACACGCTGCAGAATTCTATATGAGAAACACTTATGCAAAGAAAAATGGAAAACAATTGTCACAATAGATGAAGCATGGCTGTATTTAAATGATTGTAACAAAAAAAAGAACCATTTATTATCATAAAAAGGGAGAAAAAAAATTAAGTACATGGTTCAAAGAATCGAAAGAAAGTTTTTCTAAGGAATTCATAATTGTTGCTGGTTTTTCTTATAATGGCAAGTTAAAAATAAAGAGAGTGAAAAAAAAAATGTCAAGATTAAAAGAATGTCCCTTCTGCCAAAGGGCATTATTATCTTGTAAATTGCGGTGTCGAAAGATAGTTCAGAATAAGGGATGTCAAATAGAATATTTAAAACACAAAGAATTTTATGTAATTTAGTTTTGTGAATACAATATACATCGTCTAAAAATTGTGTGAACAGCCTCTGTAGTTGTCCTGTAGTGATTCGATTTTTTTAATTTTTCGATGCTGCGACTCGTTTCTTCAGGTTTTCCCAGAAAAGAAGTCGAGTGGTGTCACAAACGGAGAACGGGCTGATCACGAAATTGGTTCACGTCTACCTATCCAACGAGCTGGGAATGTTCCATCTAGGAATACTTATACAGCCTAATGAACCATTCAGTCAAAGAAAAAATTTTGCTGCATTTCTTCTAAACGCGGTACAGAGTGAGTGAGTGAGTGAGAGATTATGGCGCAAAACCAAAGATGATTATAGAGCGCAAACGCGGTACAGGAAACTATCTCAGTATCGAAGTAAACGTCCGAATGAATTGATGACTTGAGGAAAAAGGAGAAACCAATCATTTTGTTATGAGTTTGCGGGCATCAAATGTTAACTTTAGGGCAACCTTGCTCAATTTATCTTACAAAATGCGGGTTTTCTGGCACACAAATACTGCAGTTATGCCTGAATCTCTTCTAAACTATTTTCGGTGATTTCGCTTTCTATAACCAGGGAACGCACATTGTGTTTCAATGTATCACTCAAACAAGTTCCCTGCTGCTTTTCCCAAAACTTAGAAAGAACGAAACTCCTTAAGATTATATCAACATATGTAAATTACTTCCTGTTGCTACGTAAAATTAGACGTTTCAATTTAATTTTGCTATCCGGTTCACTTTGTGCACATGAATGGTACAGTCATTTTGCATTTTTCATATTCAAGAGAACTGAGAAGCATCTAACTACCTTGTTAATTGTGGTATACAATTTAACTTTCTGTAAATAAAGTAAGTACATCATGCACAAATCAAAGGATTCAAAGCAAAAATCGTAAATAATAATAAATTAAGTTTACAAAATGCGAAAAATTTATACATTATTACAAAATACAAAATATTAAAAAATTAATAACAAATGCAAGCTTCCAATATAAATAAAAATTAAAACGCAGGAATAGCATTTAAACAAACATTGATAGAAAGTAGATTTTTTGAAAAATAATTCGTATTATGACTTACAAATCGTTAATTTTTTAGAAATATTGTAGAATAAAGTTTTCTTTAATTTTATAATAATTAAGTTGGCATACGTAAATAAATTATGCATATAACAAAGCATATAATAGTCAGAAAAACTCAAAGGATATTATAATTAAAGATGAAATAAAGCTAAAATAAGTCTAAAAGATTTCTATTCGTTTTTAAAGTATAGATTTGTATTCTTTATAAAATTATAGTGCATTAAAAATGAGTATAAATATTGGCAATGCAGCGTCTAGCAAATTCGTATTGCACGGATGAAAAAGGTAATACACGTGTAATTATAAAATCTTGTTTAGCCTCAAAAATGCAAACGAAATATAGGTAATAGACACAGACGCATAAAGAGTCTGAGTTTAATAACTACTTTTATTTGATTCGAAACATTCTGAATAATAGCTTTTCTTACTTTAATTATTTTACTTAAGGAGAGAAAATAGGTTATCGATTTTAAATTAAATTATTCGAATATTATTTTATTCTCATATATACAGGTATGCATGCATTATTAAGGATTTTAATAGTATTTCTTATTCGAATCATTTTATTCCAAATCAGTCGTGTGACTTGCCAACGGAAGGGATGAACAACGGCCAAAGAAAGAAACCATTAAACTTTTTACAGAACAAGGCAAAAAATAACAATACAGACTTGAAAAGCACTTGAATTTGATTCAGCACAACTCAGAAAAGACTTCTATTAAGGGAATGAAAAAAACTAGTTCAATCTTATTTTCTCAGTTTCTTATAGCGTGCGTTTTTAATTATGCCTTTCATATAATTTCCATATTATTACTCTGTTTATTGAAATAATCATTACGAATAAAGAATTACATCAATATATTTAAAAAATGTCGTCGTAACTTTATTTTCATATATTATTAAATTGATTAATATAATAAAATCTGAAAAATATCAACAAAATTAGAATATTCATTAAAAATTTGAAAACAAATAAAATTAAATTATTCAAAACTGATACTGTACCATTAATTTAGGTTAAAATGAATATTAATGTACAAAATATTAATTTAGAAGCCAAATAACAAAAATCAGTGTTATATTTGCAAATTTTTGTTGTTTGACTTCTAAATTAACTTAGCCATTATCTGTTATATATATATGTATATACAACAGTCTTCCCTTAATAAAATCTTATCTCTTAATAGAAATAAGATGGATTTGACGAAAGCTGCAATGGATTTTTACTGCAATGGATTTTACAACTTGGAAAGACTTTACTACATATTTAGGTTTGTTTTGATTTGATTACAGCAAAGCACACGAAGGCTACCTGACTAAGGAGAGGAATGCCTTCGTGGAAGACTTTCTAAGGTAAACTGGCTTGTATACACGTCACATATTACTGCATATTTAAAAAGATGACACTCGAAGAAGAGAATTGCAGGCAGACGTGGCAGAATTGAATATAATTTTTAATGTTGGATACGTACCAATTATTGAAAGCATATGTTTTTTTTCATGATACATGATCATAGGCGCATAACGCATTAAGTTTATACAGAGCATCACACTTCAAATAATAGCGTAGTTGACAGCACGACAAAGCAAAGGGAGTGAAATCGATATTTAACTGCACGACAGTCGAAGTGAAAGTGCGCAGTTATCCAGTACGATGGCTCACCAAGAAAAGGTTTTGGTTTAGGTTAGAAAGGTTTCAGTTCTCGAAATTTTGAGTTTAGGTTCCGAATTAGCTACGCGATTAGCGTTGCTCCAGCCACGGAAGAGGGATTAATCTAGAAATGACGCAGTCCAGAAAAGTTATTACAATATTTAGGATAGAGAGAGGGAATTAAGGACTATTGGTAATTTATAATTTTTATTTCCACATCTTTTATCTTCCATATATATATATATATTACCTACTTCATTTATGCAGAACGAATTTGATCGGGGGGGATGCATTGCCAAAATTTACGCTCATTTTAATGCACTCTAATTATAAATATATATGTACATATATATTACATTTTGACTGTTTTAAAAAATGTTTAAAAATATTTTAAAAAACTAAGTGTGTCAGGATTACCTTAGAGACCATCTTATCAACAGAATTTAAGCTTGTATTATCCAGAGACTCTTTACAAGGAATTCCAAGCACAGTAAGAAGGAGGGCTAAGAAAACTTCCTTTCCATTGTTAAAGACTGGGAAGCTTTTCAAATCTACAATGCCATCAAATTTACATACTAATTTGAAAATTATTCCTTTACCTCAAACTTGCCATCTTTCTCGGACAATATCTTATTTTTAGCTTACTGTTCCATATTCTCTTTATTATGCGCCTGCGACCCATTTTTCAGCAAACTTATGAAAGTAAGAGTTTATTTTCGCGACTAAATATTATTTTATAATTTCTCTTAAGCTGTGGTTTTGGTTTTTCAAAGTATTTACGAAGATTATTTACAACTTTTAATAGGTATATATTGCTACCTAAATGATATTTTCATGCAGCCAGTTTTGAGCTACATTACCTTTTCATTATATGTCTGAAATGAAGACTGTTAACAACACAGTATTTTCTTAACGTAAAAAATTGAAAAAAAAGTAGGCTTTTGTGAATATTATACATTTATTAAAGCTTTAAAATTAATTACCCGGATTTAATTAAACGCATTAAAAATAAAATAATAATGCAACATTCTTGGTCGTGGGGAAAAGAGAATCATGTGCTGTTAAAAATTTATTAATCTTTAAAATTTTAACTGCCAAAAAAAACTTATGTGGATTCTTTTTATATAAATTTCATATGTATGAATGATTCATTTCTTTTGTTTCTTAACGTTCGTTTAATTCCCTTGTACATCTTTCGTGATTTCATTTTTAGTTGCATATAATTAAGAATGTTACGCTAGCTCACAGAATATTTTTTTAAATTTAGAAAATTTAATTAAAACTGCGTGTTTAAAGAGTCTGTTTACGTATGTAATTAAAATTTAAGTTTGCCATGAAAAATGGTGTTGAAAGCTGGGTGGAAGTATAGAAAAAGCAGGTCACGGCTATTTGAGTCATTTCTTTATTCTTTCCAAAATAATCTTAAAATATGCATATAATAGTTGAAATGGCGCAGACGCGCATCTATATTCTCTAATTAGTTGCTTGTTTTGAACGTATTCGTATAATTGTAACCGGCGATAAAAAGAGAACCTGCGGAAACGTATTTGAAGTGCAGAAAAGTGAAAGTTGCATTCCTGATATTTGATTAAGAATAGTTATTGTTTTACTTTATTTATATTGGTTGGCTAAAAGTTTTGTTTTGTATATTTTTATTACAGCTGGGTAAAAGACTTCAGTTTCATTTTTGCCACCATGTAAGTAAATGCGTCAGGAGCATTATAAAAGAATTTTTATATAGCATTAATTTTTGGAATCACGTAAATCAGGAAGATCTATTATGAACATTTTGTTGTTATTAGAACATGAAGAAGAAATTATCAGATTTTAAAAGGAGAATTAAGAAACTACTATAAATTAAAGTTAGAATTTTTAGCTGCAGATTTTCATCACATACTATATACTGACATTGTATCATGTTACAGATTCGTCAAGATCTGCAACCAAGCCAAATGAAAACGAAAACTTGAATATTTATTTCATCTTGAGATGATATAGTATTCACAGATTAACAAAGATAGTTTAATATAATGCAAGACGTAGAGAATGATAATGCCGAAATTATTTTTATATAATGAAAATATCGCAAATTATCACAGAAGAAATCGCATGGAAGATCTTGCAACCTTGAATTTTAAAGCAAAAAAACAGAGCTGATTCTATGCATCTAAAAAGAGTGATATCAATAATAATCAAATGTTATATCTCTTAAATAATTGAGAAGTTCAATAATAAAGTTTATAATGTTTCTAAGTACTTTAAATATACCTGACTTCGTAAAAACCTAGTTGAAGTATGTAGCGACTAATCTCTGAGTCCAAGTGTGTAAACGACAAAGTCGAGAGAAGGGTTACACTCGTCCTTTATTATTTCAAACTAAAAGTATAGTTGGCCCCTTTGTCGGGCTTACAGAAAAGCCTCCACTTGGGCTTCAAATCAAGATAAGAAAATAAAAGACTAATCTAAAGCTAAACTAAACTGAACTTTGCTGAAGCTGTACGAAATTATCTAGCGAAGTTGACCCTTAACAGTTAAGTTGGCCCGGGCCATTTACAGAACGAGAGGACTAATTTTCGTCTTTGCAGGATCGTATAGCCACATTACGTAGCCAAGTCAAGATTATGACTTGTATACACGACACTAAGCATCCGCACAGACAATGCGATTCAACAGCATGGACTGTCAGTACGGCGACCATCATTGCGCCTTTCTTTGACGCTACAGTACAAACAGCCGCATCATGGTGATGCAAAGAATAACGACTTTTAAAGAATGACGGACATAGGCATCGCATTAATTCGTCTTCTCTGACGAATCCTGGCTCTACGTGCAGCATCATGATGGATACATTCTTTTGTGGATTCATCGAGGGAAAATTACGTTGCCAACTTACATTCGTCATCATCATGCAGGTCAATACCTGGCGTGATGTCAGAGGTACATATTCCTATCACCATTTGTTTGTATAGTTGATAATGTGGTCAGCCGCCATTACATTTCTGACGTGTTGAATCCCGTGGCTGTGCCTAAGTTCGAGGTGTGCAGGACGGAATCTTTCAACAAGGTAAGGCACGACCGCATGTTGCCCATGTTGTACTGACCTTTCTCGATACAGATGACATTCCACTGTTGCCTTGGTCAGAACGTTCTCCAGATCACTCAGTGATTGAGAAAATCTGATCATGGTTTACCGACAGACTGGCACGCTACCAGTCGCCAGCCACTGCGATTGATGAACTCTGAGATGGAATTCAAGTCGCATGGAATGAAGCACCCATTCTGTCATCCGAATTCAGTTCGATTCGATGCCCAGCCGAATTACAGCTGTTGCTGATAGCAGAGGGGACAGCTATACGGACTAGATTCTGCACGCAGTTTACCCCAAACCACTAGAAATTTAATCATGAGTTCCTCCCATTATATTGTATATTTGCAAGAAATAAGATTTGTTTTCTCTCCTGGTGCAACCATTTTAATAACCTGCTATGCCTGTTTTCTTTATGCATAATTGTTTTACTTTAATAATTTTACATTATAAATCATAACTATACGTATAGTTCGCTAATATTTATATGAAAATTAATGTATGTGAAATTACAATTTGATTAATTATTATTCTAAATACAGTGGATGGACAAAAATATGGAAACACCTTGTGAAATGCATGTTTGAAAAGAAAGATTGATTTTAATGAAATATGTAGTGGCGCTGCGTTTTTGACACTGACGCCACCTATACACTTCGTAAAGTGCTAAACAGTCAGTGTTGTCGGAGTACTGTTATGGAGGTTGTCATGCATTATGTCAGAGTTAAAGACTCGAACGTGGGCAAATTGTTGGAGCAGGTATGGTAGGTGCTCCGTAGCAAGGTAGCCGAGGTGTTTAGTGTTTCAAGAGGTAATGTTCGAAGATTTATTCCGCATATTTGAAAAGCCAAAAAACATCATCTGCTAAATCACAGCGCGGACGAAAGTGTGTCCTGAGTGATCGTGACAGACGATCATTAAGGCAATTGTGACGAAAAATAAGAAGACCCACAGCTGCACAAGTTACTGCTGAAATGAAGTTGTGTTACCGAACCCTGTGAGTACAAAACAATTAGAAGGAGCTCCATAAACAGGAAGTGCTGGCGTGTGCAATTGAGAAGCCACTCATCAGTGATGCTAATGCCCGTAACAGGAAAAGGTGGTTTTAAGTCATAAAGCCTGGCTACAGAGCAGTGAAGCGAGTAATATGTCTGACTTCTTATCACATTGTTTCCCACTTCTGGCCGAGTTTACGTCTGGAGAACGCCATCTCAAGCCTATAATACAGACTGCTTGTGCCAAGAGTGAAACATGTTTCGTTATGATTTGGGCAGCCATATCGTGGTTCTCTGCTAGCCCCATGATAACTGTGTCAGGGCACATGACTGCCAGACTTGTGTGAACATTTTGGCCGATCAAGTTCATCCCATGGTACAAACTTGTTCCCCATGGTGGTGGTGTCTTCCAAGACGACAAAGCCCCTGTCACACAGCTCACATGGTCCAGGACTGGTTTTCTGAGCACGAGGAGGAGTTGTCCCATTGCCTGCCACACCGTCACCAGACTGAGTATTATCAAACCTTTGTGGTCTACATTGGACGGAAAGCACATTCTCGTTATCCACCGCCAAACATCTTTATCTGAACTTGCCACTGTTTTGCAGAAGAATGGTATAATTCCCTTGTCTTCCATACAGGAATGTATTATCCATTCCGAGAAGACTGGCAAGCTGTTTTGGATGCCACGGTTTTAACCATATTAGCAAAGAAACAAGTTTTTTTAAGGTGTTTCCATATTTTGTCCAACCTGTAGATTCGGGAACAAAAAAATAACAGAGTATGGGAAAGAGAATAGTAAAGTGATTTTTAAATAAATTCAATTATAAAGCTTTAATCATTTTTAGCTAATGCTGAGGTATCAATTGTTGGAGATTATAAAT